TTTTTTTTTTAACCCTCTTTTGAAACGACCGTCATGTTATATAATTGGCAATGATTTTTTCAGATTTATGGATTTTTGCAAGATATTTAGCAGAGGAGATAAAGCGCGCTGAGTGCTTCTTCTTTTCCTAGCATCACCGAGTTAAAAACCTTTTCCCTCCTAGAACCTAATCCAGACCTTTCCTGAAGTCATTCTGGCTTGGGCAAATCCTTTATGTATTCAGTTCACTTAGAAATCAGGTAAACTGATGGCGAATAGAGCTGAATGTGAATGATAAATGCCGGTGGTTGCGATGGAGTAGTGAAATTAAAATGTTTGTAATTTTAATTTTAATGTGGGGAGGGGGGGAGCGAGAAGGCTGGCTTTGTGGGAGACAAATTCCCCGGTGCATATTAGCCATGAGATTTGAACAAAATAGCCAACATTCAAGTCATCCCGTTTCTCCTAGTGAAATGTTGACCATTGCAAGACTGTCAGAATTGGTAGGAGAAGCGACACAGTATCTTTCCCCGAATGGCTAGCAGGGCGTCTCCTAGTGGTGGGGAAAGAAACACAACCAACCAACCAACCGCTGGTCAGCCGGCGGGAAAAGCCTCAAACCAGGGGAGCGAGGGCACCCACCTCTGCTGGCATCCTGGTGGGTGTCTAGGCTGTGTGTGACTCCGCCTGAAACCGCTTAAGGCATGACTCCAACCCCTAGAATTCATTCGTGGCACCCCGAAAATCATCGCAAGTCTACTTAATTAAGCACGTCTTCTAGAATGCCTCCCCCGATACCCGCTAGTTTTGTAGGGATCCGAGGAGCAGACTTTTAAGCCTAGAAATGAGAACCACATTCACTGACTACGCCATCGCACCCCAGGCTGTTTTATTTCGTCTTTGGCCAGTTTCGTTTTAGGAAAAGCGAGTGTTATCGAACCCTAGGAAAGCGGCTGTGAATACCCGGACTCAGCAAGGAGAAAAAGGATGCCTGAGCGTCCAGGAGCCGGGCGCGAGTCCACCCCAGCCGGGCAGCGGTTCCAGGGTCCGCGCGCCGGGAGAAGGGGGCGGGGCCACGGCCGCGGGGTCCGGTCCTTTGTGACGTAGGACAATGCCTGCCACGCGTCGGAACTCGCTGCCGGGACGGCCGCCGGGCGACAGTGACGCGCAGAGGGAGTCCGGTGGTCCCTTGGGCCGACTTCGGGAATCATGCGTGCCTTACTCAGATTAGTCGTTTTCTGTTATGTGTGGGATATTTTTACTGCCCAGAAAGAGATCACAGAAGAAGTGAAAATAGAAGTTTTGCATCGTCCAGAAAACTGCTCTAAAACGAGCAAGAAGGGAGATCTGCTCAATGCTCATTACGACGGCTACTTGGCTAAAGACGGCTCGAAATTCTACTGCAGGTAGGAAATGGCAAGAACTGCTTCCACATCCAGTGATGCAAGAATCTAGCCTCCCTCCAGCAGCCAAATTGGTTGGTTGTTTGGTGTGCTGTTTCTTAGTAAGAGGAGGCTAGGGGTTGGTGATAATGTTAGAATGTTAAAATTCTCTACTCCCTATTAAACTGAGCTTTACTTTTTAAATTATTAAAAGTTTTTGCCGGGGCCCTCCCTAGTGGCACAAAGGGTTAAAACACAGCACTGTGAAGCTATAGCAGCCCCTGCAGCACGAGTTCAATCCCCAGTCAGGGAGGACCCGCATGGCTTGGCAGACCTCTCCAGACCGCAGCTTCCCCTCTCAGTAGTATGTTTCAGTCAGTTGGCCTGTTCTGCCCCCCATTCTATCTTTGGTGAATCCTGTCACACCCTGCTGCATCTCTGGGGGTGAAAAAGTTTTTGCCAAAGATGTCATCAAAAATATACTACATCCACACACATATCTCACAACTTACGCCACTACCCTTGGCGCTTATCAACTCAATGGAGTCACTGTGGGGATGTTCATGCTTTTATTTGCCTTGGGTTGGAGTCTTTTTTACAAAGGACTAGGTAATTTCAGAGATTTTATCTGATCTTCAGAAGCCGGGTTTCTGCAAACCAGCTGCCACTTTCCAGCTGTACCAGGAAGCCACTAACTTCAGTGACTGATGACTTCTGAGTCCTGTGCTCCTTCACCTGCATTCCACCACTCCTGGCTCAGATTTAGTTGTTGGTTTATTACTCAGAGGAAGAATGTTGTTTTTCTTCATCTGTACCATTACTGTAGAAAGACAGGATTGGGGAAAGTTCACTATGTCCCTTTAGAAGAAAATAGAGAAATTCAATAAGAAAAAAAAATCAAAATTTTAATTACTGTTGAAATGACTTTTTGAGGCCAAACCTATGCCATCACTTTTTAAAAAAAAAAAAAAAGAACAAACCCAAAGAGGTTAAATGAGCTATTTGGACAAGCTGTGATAGGAGAGCCATTAAAAAGTTAACAGTTGAATAATTTTTATAAAGATAATTTAAAAAATGAGATGACTGTTAATGACTAGCTTTGGGCACATCATATAGGTCTCTTTCTAGCTATTATGACAGAAGTTTGAACCCAACACCCCACCAGGGAGTTCAGAATAAGTGATAATATAGGAAAACAGGGATAAAGAGGACTCCAATGTTCAATTATAACTAAATACCCATCTGTAAATTCAATGTTTGATTTTGCTTTTCTTGAAATCAGCTTACCTGATTGTTTTGATTATAGCCGGACACAAAATGAAGGCCACCCCAAATGGTTTGTCCTTGGTGTTGGGCAAGTCATAAAAGGCCTAGATGTTGCTATGATGGATATGTGCCCTGGGGAGAAGCGAAAAGTGATTATACCCCCTTCCTTTGCATATGGAAAAGAAGGCCATGGTAAGGTGTTTTTAAATTTCTTCTATGTTAATTTTTAAAATCATTCATAGACTTTGGGTATGCACCTAAAAGACTGAAAGTAGGTCTCAGATATAGTGCCCTCCCTGGTGGTTCAGCCGAGGTCAGAGCTCTGTACTTGCTACACTGCGAAGCTAAACCAAGCCATGTCCCTTTTAGTGCTAGTTCGTCCCGCCCCGAGGTGATTCACCTGGCGCAGCAGACCTTCCTGTCTCACCGGCAGCTCCCCTCAGCAGTGTATTTTGTCCCTCTGCCTATTCTGCTTCCAGCTCTGTCTCTGGTGAATCCTCTCGCCACCCCTGCACATCTGGCCTGTACCCCATTTCTGTATGCATAAATAAAATCTTTTTTAAAAATGGGAGCTGCGAAAGATTTTAGATACATACCCATTTCCACATTATTCACAGTAGCCAAGAGGTAGAAATAAACTGTGTCCATTGACAGATGAATGCATAAGCAAAATATGGTATAGATACAGAGTGGAACATTATTCAGCCTTAGAAAAGAAATTCTGACACATGCTACATGGGTGAGCCCTAAATGCATTATGCCAAGTGAAATAACACAGTCATAAAAAAGAAATAGTGTATGATTCAACCATTTGAGGTTACATGCAAGAGTCAAATTCATAGAGGCAGAAAGAGACAATTGTTTGCCAGAAACTGGGGGGGAGGGGGAGGGAGGGTAAAATAGGGAGTTGTGGCTTAATGGGCATAGTTTCCACACTGCAAGATGACAGGGTTTAGAGATTAGTTGTATAATAGTTTGAACAATACATGTAAAATGGTTACAATGGTAAATTTGACGTTACGTGTATTTTTGTAGAATTAAAATTTTTAAATTACTCCAAAAAAATGAAATACCATAAGGGAAATAATTGCAGAAGTATAGGGACCAACAAACTTTCGCTGTATCTAGTCCAGTCCAACTCAGTCACCTCTTTTTATGCATAAAGAATGTCAGACTTTGGGCCCTCCCTGGTGGCACAGCCGGTTAAAGCACAGCACTAAGAAGCTAAAGCCACTTCAGCATGAGTTTGATCCCCGCCCTGGAGCTGACCCAATGCCACAGCATACCAGTCCTAACCGCCAGCTGCTCCCCTCAGCAGTGTTCTTCGACTATCTGCCTATTCTGCTCCCTACTCTGTCTCTGGTGAATCCTCTCACTACCCCTGCACCTCTGGCCTGTACCCCAGTTCTGTATGCATAAATAAATAAATCTTAAAAAAAAAGTCAGACTTCATTGGAAAAGTGTCAGTTCCGCATAATTACTGCATTTTCAATGTTTTTGCCAATTATTTGACCCCATCAAAATAGCTACCGCAGAACCATAATTTGTATGTCCTATTTTTAGTTGTTTGGGGCCCCAAAAGAAAGAGGGAACTCAAGATAATTTAAAAGCAATACCTATGAAAATGCTCTATGTTGAGGCCAATCGTAGGTAAAATGATATGGGCAAATTTTCAATCTGTTAAATCTCATTTTCAGACTTTCCCTTTGTCTCTTGTGTTTTCTCATCGGATGACTCCACATTCATCATAGAGGGGGCCCACTATCAGAGCCCCCTCTGATTTATCTGCTTAGAGCACCCATATCCCTCACCAACAGTTGCCTGTCCTGTTGTGTAACCATTACCCTAAGGCAAATGCCTACTTAATTTATCCTTTTTATAAACTAATTTATGCTTAAATATGAGTGACTGTATGTTGAAGTTTAACTTGAAGAAGTTCATATTCAATATAAGGTGTCTCCAATAAACAAAAATGATGACTCCCACTAATAACAGCACCGATGCCTTGTTTTACACTTGAGGAAACTGAGGTTCTCCCCCCAAATGTGTTCTTTAAAAGTATTTAAGTGCTAACCTACCTAACTTGCAATAACTTAGATTAGGTTATTTGAAAAGTTGCAGTGTAGGCCGTAAGTAAACACCTAACAAACGATTTCTTGATCAAATAAGTTTTTTAATATAAGTTGTTATTAAAGCCTAACATTAACTATAACTTTATTTTAGGTAGTACTTGAAGAAGTCTTTCCTCTACACAATATCCTTGCCTCATGTCACAGATACTTCTGCATGTCTTGAAATGCATGTGGCTTTTTAGTGCTTTAATTAATGGTAATGTGGTATGTATAGACTCTTAACTCCTATGTCTTTAATACGCTTCTCGAAATACAAGAGATTTTATGAAAAATGCATATTTTCTCTAATTCTCTCATTTTTTGGTACAAAAAAGCTAATGGGGAGATATCTAAAATGTATGTGTATATATTTACCCATCTATCTACGTCTATTTAAAGCCTCAATAGAGAGTATTACAGGAAAAAAAAAAAACAAAACTAATGGGCAATATTTTCTGTTTATAGTACAATTGTGCAGAAACTTCCTCTTAAGAAATTTGTATTTGTTATCTGAAAAAGTGATTTTTCTGTCATAAGATCATGAAGTGGAAAGAGTAAGAATAGATTTTGTATAGTGATTATTAAATCAATCTGTAGCTCTTTTCTCTTACTCTATGGTAATATGCAATGCTGGTGAGGATTGACACATTACTCATATAATGCATGTGTAGGTTTTTCTATATCCTGGCTTAATGACTGATAAAACCCTTTAGGCTATAACTTTTAAGCTCTTTTTTCTTTTTTATATAAACACTTTAGCAAGAATTCTGCAATATCCATTAAAGAAATTACTATGTTCTCTAAAGGATAAAGAGCCTTTTTTTTTTTTTTAATAAATATTGAGTCATTCATTCAACAAATATTTGAGTGTCTGTAGTGGATCAAGCATCATATCGGATTCTGGAACTATACTGTTGAAAAAAAACTACCCACTGCCTTTAGCAAGTCATTTCTACAAGTCTTTTTTATGAACTGGTCATCTGAAGAACTTCACTGCTTGTCAACTCATCTATGACATCAGATAATCAGATTTTTATTAAGAGAACTATTCAACTAATAATTTTCTTTCATTGTGAGAAATTTCTTCATAAAATTGTCATTGGACTATTTTGTTGCCATTGTGCTTAGTTTTTAATGTCTGCAGAGAATTTGAAAGACATTTATTAATATATGTTTTATTTAAAATTCAAAAAATCTACTCAGATCATTTTCTAGGGCCTCCCTGGTGGCACAAGGGGTTAAGTCTCAGCGCTATGAAGGGAACCACAGTCACTGCAACATGAGTTCAATCCCCAGTCAGAGCTGACCCACATGGCATAGCAGATCTCTCCTGTCTCACCCACTACTTACCTCAGCATTGTATTTCAGTAGATCCATCTTCTGTTCCCCACTCCGCCTCTGGTGAGTCCTTTCACCACTTCCATCCCCCCCCCACCTCTGTATGCATAAATAAAAAAACTTTTCAAAAAATAAAAGATCACTTTCTAAGAGATTTCTGACTTGTTCTTTGAAAATTTTCTGCCCTTGTATTTCTTCTCTGCACCTACTCTAACCTCCATAATAATGGAGCATATTAACAAATGATACACAATTTACATTTATATTTATTTAATAAGAAAATGTTAATAACCTAGTTTCTTTCAATTGACTTCATTTGAAAACATGGAAAACTTTATTTAAGAGTCATTAGAAGGCAAATTTTATAAACGTAAATTATGCAAATGAATATTTGAATATTATCGTCATGTAAGTTAACTGTTAAAATTTGTATTCTTAACAAAAGGCAAGATTCCACCGGATGCAACATTGATTTTTGAGATCGAACTTTATGCTGTAACCAAAGGACCACGAAGCATTGAAACATTTAAACAGATAGACACGGACAATGACAGGCAGCTCTCTAAAACTGAGGTAATTTAAATTGTGTGTATGTCTAAAATTTCCTATCACAATTTGAATGCATCTTCGTTGGCTCCTGATAAACTCTGTGGAGTGAACAGCAAATGAATTCAGATAGCTCCCAAGCCCAGCCGGTGCACACAAACCATACAAAATTACTTGCACAGCAAGAAGTGTATTCTGCAGTGAGACTGGTCTCCTGTAGACCTTAGGTGATTTTCGTTCTTTTCTGGAAAATAAAACTAAAGAAAGTAAATATAGTGACCTGCTTAGCTACAGCTTCTCCACATTATCTCTCAGGTTATCAGGTATCAACTGCATTATCACAAAATGGATAGTGAATTTTTGTGCATGCCTGAATAATATAAATATCTATTATTGATAGCCACAAACATTAATCCTTACATCAATCCTACAATACAGATATAATTTCCCTCCTGTTATAGGTTCAAAGAAGTTAAATTATTAATGTAAGACCACACAGTCAGTAACATGGCAAGGCCAAGATTGGAAACATGACCTTGAAGAAATACCTTTCTGTGTTATCAGAATTAGCCAACTGTTTTCTTCAGTATGAATAAGGTGTGGGAGAAAGGACACATTTATTATTTTAAACTAGAAAGTTAGTAAACAGATGTTTAGAATTCATCTACCTCACCTTCACATACCAATTAATTTTATATATTATTAAGGGATTAATGAAGAACTTGAGGGATATAAATTTTTTCATTATTCTATTATCTATTATTATCCATTATCCCTCTTTTTTTATTACTATGTGGAACTGAATAGGATCCAATACCAGCAAAATTAAGGTCGTATTCTTTCCCACTGCTGCCTTTACCTCTTTACTGTAGTGTACAATATTGAAAGTCAGCAATATTGGCTATGGAGAAATAATTTACTTACTTAGGAATTGAAGAATACTTGAGACTGAAATCTTTATACCTGCATGAGATTGCTAAGACTCAGTTGGAAAGAAAAAAAAAATGTATCCCTCCTCTAGAACTGAAGTGCCATTTAGAACAGTTGATACATTTTAGCATTAAGTACATTGAGCATCCTACAATAAAATCAGCTGGACTTAATTTGGGATGTGTAGTGCTCAAAATTGCTCTGGGTTCAACTTCAGCCTTTAAAAATACCTTTGCTTTAAAATGCCCTACTCTTGCTGAACATTTTATCTAGATAATCATGCATTGCTGTCTTAGTTACTAAATAGATTAACACTTAGCATTGGGATTATGATCAATTCCATATATAATCTGAATAGTTTTAGTATCCACAATTTTAAAAAAGCAGGTGAAATTTTTGTGGTACTTTCTTTTAATTCAATATATCTAAAATATTACCATTTCAGGATGAAATCCCTTTAAAAATTAACAGTAGGTAACTATTATCTTCAAAATTTGTTGTGTATAATAACCTAAAAGTAGCATATCTCACTTCACTCTGCTACTATATCAGACAGTACTTAGAGTATCTTTGTATAAAGAAATGTCTTATTGTATAGAGAAAGAATACTTCAGGATACCTGTTCTGTATTTGACACTGTTACTGTTTGTCATAGGTAGATTTGGGGAAACTATAAAAAGCATAGGGAAATTACAAAAATTGAATTTGATATCAAAATATGTTGGATTTATTGATTATGTAATAGTATTATTTTTATAGATTATAAAAACTAGTTTTGATTTTACTAATGGACATTTGTGGGAGTGATTTTCCTTTGACGATGTAAGCAATGTAGATATTTAGTAAAATTCAATTGAAATTTTTATGTGTGTGTGTCCACTAACCATCTATAATATCTGGAAAGCTAATTTTCTCTACAGAAAATTGCTTCAAAAGTTAGAAAATAAAACCTCAAGTAACTTTATTTTTTTGTATCACTTTTAGTCTCAGATTCTCTTTATGTGAATATTCCTCAGTCACTGGAAATGTACTTCATACCTCTTTATTAAGAAATACTATTTTCTCACCCTCTAGATAAATCAGTACTTGGAAAGGGATTTTGAAAAAGATGCAAAACCACGTGACAAGTCATACCAGAATGCAGTTTTAGAAGACATTTTTAAGAAGAATGACCATGATGGTGATGGCTTCATTTCTTCCAAGGAATACAATGTATATCAACATGATGAACTGTAGTTTATTTTTATATCAAAATTTCATACCTTACTTTATAAAATGAAGTCAGCTTTCTGCCAGTTTTATTTTCTATTTTTCACCCAGGAGGATATATTTGGATACGTACTTTACATTTAATTATGGTATAATAAATATGAGGCTGTTTTGCAAGTTTAACTTTGAGGAAAAGTTCTATTGAATATCTTATTGCTTTATTGACCTCTGTGTCCAGTGGGCAGTTTTACCCCTTTGAAACATAAATGTCAAAATCTACAAGCAGTTCCTACCTAATTCTAGCCTTAACAGCATAACATATGTATGCAAATATTCCATTTATGTTCAAATGCCCCAGAAATTAACATTTCATTTGTACCTTTCATAGTTTATGCACTCAGTAAGATATTAGTGTTACTCTGTCCCATAGAGAGCTTTGACGTAATTCTCTGGAATTTTTGGTACAATCTTCTGGCCTTTGGGTATTTTTTCCAATGAAAAAATGTTTAAAGTGGGCCCTCCCTGGTGATACAACTGATGAAAGCACAGCACTAAGAAGCTAACCACAGCCACCTCAGCATGAGTTTGATCCCCAGCCAGGGAGCTGGCCCACATGGTGGACAGACCTCACCTGACCGCCCGCTGCTCCCCTCAGCAGTGTAGTTGGTCGATCTGCCTATTCTGCTCCCCACTCTGTTTCTGGTGAATCCTCTCACTGCCCTTGCACCTCTGACCTGTATCCAATTCTGTATGCATAAATAAATGAATCTTTAATACCAAAAAAATGTTTATGAAGATATTTAATAGACCAACGGTGTTGTGCCACTTCTAGCAGGCATGATGAAATCTCCATTGCTGTGAGTCTTGTATTCTTCCAGACACCAATATAAATGTGCCACTACTTATCCTTGCTTACTCTACCATCCCTAGACTTTTTGTGTTAATAATTTTAAATCAATGCCCCAGTAGTTTCCAGTCTCGTTTCTCTAGGTATCTCTTTCCTGTGTCACTAAATACATTATGTTCTTATTTTTAATGAGGAGAGTTACAAACTGGTAGGCTGTCAAATATTTGATAAATGGGAAAATTTATTTTCCACATAAGGATATCAAATGAGAATACAAATGAGGAAATACCGTGCTGTGAGGATTTTGTGACATGGTCAAGTTTCTTGAGAAGAGGGAAGATGTGCTATAGACCCTTGGGAAGATGTGTTACAGAAAATTTCACAGGTGCCAAAGAAAAGGTACATCTTCATTGAGACATAAGATTTTGCCTACTGTGTATGTAGAAAAATATGGTCAAGCAGTAAAAAGCTCTGTTCAATACAGGAAACAAACCATTCCTGAAAATTACTTTCCATTGTCATCTTTTAGTCTCTTTAGATAACTGCCAGAAATGCTTATTAAAAACTGTGGGAATAGCACTAAATCCACCAGATGAGTGATTTCACATATGCCTACCACAATTTGACACTTATTGATCAAAAACCTTTTCTATCTTTTCTTCCCAATATTTCTTTATGCCCAATTTTATAACTCCTCACTTGCTCAATCATAAACTTTTTTATCCCTTTACTTCAGCCTGTTCCGTAGAGGTAAATTAAGTTGCTAACTGTCTTGTTTTGATTTGGAGTCTTCCATCTTTCTATCCATATTACAAAGTCAGAGCACTTTCATCAGAATGTTTGCCTTCAGATTATATACTCTTCCCAAAACAAATACACAGTGAAAGAGTATATATGTGTAAGTTATCCTAAAACTCTAATCACATTTAAATAATTGAAAAAAAAATTTCAGTTATCCAATACACAGACTGCACAGGCATTTTGTGTATAATTGCTTTACGACTTCATAGGCATATACCTGTAGTGACTGCTGAAATTAGAGATTTTGGATTTTAGAAACTTAACATTATTTTTGCTGTGAGTTTTAACAAGGATATATAGTAAATAAATTAAGAAATTGGTAAAGGAAAAATTCAGATGTCTCACAAAAGAGATGAAAAAAATCTCTGAGAATTAAATGCATTAAATATTTTCAAAGGAAGAAGAAATAAATGTGCCTAGGTGCCTCAACTTTAAAACAGCAGTTTGTATAAAAACAGACGCAGCAAGCATATGCATACTACAGAATGGCAGCTTATTACTACTATCAATCACCCTGTTAGCTGTGTACATAAAACCCAAACTCTGTTCAGTGTACTTTAAATTTGATACTGTAAATTAAACATTCAAGATTACATTAAATTATTAACACATTTTTCTCATTTTACCAGACCTGAGGCAATAGTTAAACCATAAAGTCACCACTAGTGTTTTCACCACTCTTGTCGTCCTTAAATTTTGAATTAAAGGCAGACTACAAATAATATTTAAAAAAATCTATGTAAAAAGCTAAAACAATAGGCTTAGTCTTAAAAAATATTTCTTAAAGTGCTCAGCAGGTGTTAGGAAGGAACACCTGTATTCTGGATTCTATACTTAAACCTTTTCTAACATAAATAATATTCAAGTTCATAACAACGTATGAAGTAGATACAATTATCATATCCACTTTATAGATGGAAAAATAATGCCCAAACAAGTTAGTTTTTCTTTCTCCTTCCATTTGCTGCAATTCACCAAAACAAAACTAGAAAATTTGGAAACATGTGGCACAGTTGCACCCAAACGCAGCCAGTACGCTTTTCATTTTATTTCATTCTCTTGTGCCAAACATCAAAACAAGGAACTGCATGAAGTCTCACATACTTCTGTCCATCAACAGAGCACTGAAAGCACCCATAAACTGTCTCCCTTTTGAAGTTACCCATTCCACAGAGTATGCAAGGCCCTTTTGGGATGTTGTGATTAAGTAAATTAACTCGAATATGAGTCCCTTCTTTGAGTGAAATATCAGTCATGCTGAGTGGTTTGTCATAGTAGTCAGAAAAAAGGTCATCTAAGTAAAGCTGTGAGCGAGAAATGGCGTCCATCACTCTTCTGTCTAAAAGAACAAAAACAGAAACATGTCAGAAATAAAAATTAAAAAGGTTATCACCAAACTGCATTTATAAATACATGAATCCATCATGAAATGATTTGGGTTTTAATTTTAAATTCTTGACAGTATGATTGAATATGAGAAGAAAAAAATACTTTGAAGTAGCTTTCAAAAGACATACTTCTCTCAAATAGTATATTTCTCAATCTGTAGAGCAGTGCAAATGTTGCCGTTTCTTCCCTTTCAAATCCTCCTTTTGACACTGAAGTGACACAAAGGTCTATAAAAAATGATAGAAGATATTTTTACTTGAGCAACTCACAATTTGCTGGAATTTTTTTTTATTACAAAGTTTATTTTTACATCATTTTGCACATTTTTTTTTCCATCTCGATTGTAATCCCCGCGGATTTCCCATCACCAAATCACCCCTGTGCCACCACCATAGTCCCGTGCATTTCCCTCCCTTCCCCCCCCCCATTTTTGATCCCATTCCCCACTCCACCCCCACAAAATGTCTCTGGTATATGGTTGTTCATTATTTTTGTTATTTTCTCGCCTGGTCCATTATACTCCTGCTATGAGTTACACCATCCGGTATTTTTCTTTCTCTTTCTGGCTTATCTCATTAAGCATGATCTTTTCCTTGATGGAAATTTTTAAGAACAACCATGATGGACAAGGAATTCTTGTATATGCCATTTGTATTTAAGTTAAATTTTATATAAATATTGAAAAAGATAACAGTCATACATTACAAAATCCAAAGACTACCAAAAGAAGATACCATGACAAATAAGGTTATGATGTAGCCTGGACCCAACCAATTCACTACCACAGAGGTAACTATCATGGCTAAGTTTCTTGTGCACACTTTGAGATATACTCTGTTATCTTTTGCAGCATAAAGGAATATGTATGTATGAATAGCAAATTCTTTAAGTCCAAATATTACATAGTATATAAATTTCTTTGAAATTTCTCTTATTAGATTCTCCCATGTCAGGATCTATGGTGCTTCCTCATTCTTACTATCTTCATAATATTCTGTGTCGATGCACCATTTTAACCACTTGCTGATACTAGAAATTAAGGTTACTTAATAGACTTAAAGGTTATTAATCTTTTGTTGTTACAAACTTAATATATTTATACACCGAAGACTAAAGTTTATGTGTATTAAAAATTTTGATGGATGTGGGCCCTCCCTTGTGGCGCAGCGGGTTAAAGCACTGCACTGAGAAACTAAAGCCACTTCCGCATGAGTTCGATCCCCGCCTGCACTGGAGGTGACCACATGGCGTGGCAGACCTCTCCTGACCCGCCCACTGCTCCCCTCAGCAGTGTACTTCGTCGATCTGCCTGTTCTGCTTCCCACTCTGTCTCTGGTGAATCCTCTCACCCTCCGCATCTCTGGCCTGTACCCCAGTTCTGTATGAATAAATAAATAAATCTTTAAAAAAAAATTTTTGATGGATGTATCAGTTATGTCAGTTTTCACTTGTGCCAACAGCCACCTAAAGTGTTCCAGACAGAATTTTTTTGGTATGTAGCCGTCTTTCTGGACTCCCTATTCCTTCTTTCCACAGAACTTTAGAAACAAACAAAATGAGGTCTAAAAATGCTTATAAATTACCCTGGCAAGGGGCTCTCTGCCTTTTCTTTGGGTTCACCAAGACTTGAGCAACTGGCCTTAGGTGGGGTAAGGGCTTCTACAATGAGTAAAACTAAAGAAAAGTAGGGAGAAGAGCTCTCTCCCAGGCACTTCACTTAAGCAGAAGATTCTAGAATCATTAGAAGAAAGAGATTGTCATTAAGTTCTTCTTAAAAAATGATAATTGCACTATTTTATGCAATCATTCACTCACCAAAGGCACCATCCAAGTAGATGAAGAGTTCAGAAACACTGAAAGCTATGGTTGTGTGTGCTGGAAAAACAATAGCTTTGTCCCTTCCCTTGGGATTCTGCTCATCCATAAAGTGAAACTATATTAATAAATAAGAATATTAAGGTACATATTATATAAGGCTAGCTTTGTGGAGAAGCAAAACCATTTCCTACTATTCTACCAACCATACAAAACCCCCTCAATTAAAGAATCATCCTACTTGAATTAAAGTTTTTATTAGCACAGGTCCAAATAGTCCCATAGGACTCATAATCCCTGTTAGGAGAAACCTCAACCACTTTCTCACTTGCTTTGTATTGTAGTCAATGTGTAGTGCTTCAAAATAGTTAATACTCTAGCAGCATTTTGCTTCGGACTACAAACCTTGGACTAAAACCATTGCTATTAGCCTGCCCTGACTTTTGTTTTAAAACCTCCAGAGCTTTCCAAATCTTTCTGAAGCTTATTTTCCAAAGCAATCACTAAAAATTAAGAAAATATTTCTGTTCCTGACCCCAAAATGATTCAAAGGTAAACAACTTGGTGGGTCACTTTATTTGCAAAGATTACCCCTGAACCCTCTTTCTGACAATTGGTTTTAGTAACACCAAGTCACTATTATGTGTCACTGAATGACAAGGATAAATAAAAATTAACCTCAAGATTTTTTAAAGGATTTAAATGCTGAATGAAATGACAATATTATGAAATTGACAATATTATTTCAGAAAAAATAATGTTAAAATATAAATTCGACTTTTCAAAACAAGTAGAAACCACATCACTTAAAATCAGGGCATAATGGGTTATGGCATAATGGGCTAACGCACAGCACTATGAAGCTATTTGCAGCTACTGCAGCACAAGTTCAATCTCCCACCAGGGACATGGCATGGCAGACCTCTCCTCTCTTGCCAGAAGCTCCCCTTGGCCACATATTGCAGTCAGTCTGCCTATTCTGTTCCATAAAATCTTTAAAAATCAAAATCAAAGAATTCAACATTAGCCTCTGATTTTTTTCTTTAAACAGCACTTGAATAGCAATAAAAGGGACTCCAGTATGAGCATTAATTCATAGGGTTAGTATATTGTTTATACTACATAATTTTATATAAATTGTCTTGGATTTTCTTTCATATCTAAAATGAAACCATTCCTGAAGAAAATCCTAGATGCTTTTCAACAGAAGTGCAATTCCATTATCTCAACATTTGACAAAATACACAAATCTCACTGAAAATTATTTTTGAAAAATTATCATTGCAGCTTTTTAGTAAAAGAAATTAATAAGTGTGATTTATTTACCCTCATGGCTTCTCCACGAATACCAGCATGCACAGACAATGAGCACTGTCGTGTGGTTCGAATGCTTTCCATGACTACGCATAATACTGCCTTTCTGTTATTCCTTGACTGACGTATCAAGCTGTGGTCAAAATTAATTTTTCTAAAATAAAGCAGAGTCATTCACAAGAATTTGTAGCATCTAATTACATATATAATCAAGTACATATTTGATATAATGTATTAACTTATTCATGGTTCACCTTAACTAAATGTAAATCAAGGCAGGTCTAAGATGATTCGGAATGGATATATAAAAGACATTTAATAATCTTCTTCTCCTTTCTATTTCTTACAAACATGTTTATTATAGGACTCTGTATTCAGCATGTTTGCTGCAAACAGATTCCTATATTCTTTAATTAAATAATTCAGCAAATGTGTGCAGAGGCAGAGTGATTATGTGGAATAATTAAAATTTCTGCTTAAACCAAATGATTTCGGACTTCTACCCTTATCCAAACTTTGGATATGATTTGTAGTATTTCAAACAAATCAAAACAAATTACACTACTAAAATATAACCTGAATGTTTTATTTACAAAGAACACTTCATTCTTTGTAATAAAATGTATGTAGGGTCCTCCCTGGTGGTGCAACAGTTTAAAGCACCCTGCAGGTGCTAAGATGCGAGCCTCAGCCACTGCAGCATGAGTTTGATCCCCGCCCCAGAGGTGACCCACATGGCGTGGCAGACCTCTCCTACAGACCAGCCCACTGCTCCCCTCAGCAGTGTACTTCATCAGTTTGCCTGTTCTGCTCCCAGCTCTGTCTCTGGTGAATCCTCTCACTGCCCCTGCATCTCTGGCCTGCACCCCAGTTCTGTATGCATAAATAATTCTTTTTAGAATATGTATATAATTTATACAACTTAGTTAATGAAAACATTGGAATACATTATTATACCAACCGTGTAGTAATTTCCTTGAGTAATGTTGATACTTCTACTTCATGTTTGGTTACTACACCGAATGAAGCTTTTACTGCAATGGAATCTGATCCAGCAACATTAATCCCAACATCATTCACAATATGGTTGCCTCGCCTTCCATAGAGAGATACATCTGATTCATCTTCATAGTTCAGTAATTGATAAGATGAAATACCTTTTAGAAAATGAAATTAATATTTTTAAAACTTGAAATTTTCTAATGTAGATCATGTTAATAGCATCTTAATTTACTAGTTAAGATGTGATTACCTAAATGTTAATGATGATAGCTTATGTTACTTAATATTAACTTCAAACCAAGATTAAAAATAGAAATTCAGGGCCCTCCCTGGTGGCGCAGCGGGTTAAAGCACAGCACTGAGAATCTAAAGCCGCTTCCGCATGAGTTCGATTCCCGCCTGCCCCGGAGGTGACCACATGGTGCGGCAGACCTCTCCTGACCCGCCCGCTGCTCCCCTCAGCAGTGTACTTCGTCGATCTGCCTGTTCTGTTCCCCACTCTGTCTCTGGTGAAACCTCTCGCCGCCCCTGAGCCTCTGGCCTGTACCCCAGTTCTGTATGCACAAATAATCTTTAAAAAAAAAAAAATAGAAATTCAATTAATTTGACAACAAAAAACAAATAGCTGGAATAGTTAAACTAAAATTCAGCCAACAACTTCTTACGTATCGAGATTCACTGGTGCATTGAGAGAAAAGCAAATGTTGAAGAGAAATAATTTGTCAAAATGCCCACTTATTTCTAACTACCCTGAAAATACACTTTAGTTTACCCACTTTATAGCTGAATCATAAAACATAAACACAAATTATTTTCAAGTCATTTTACCCAATGAAATAGTAAGACTAAATGATCTAATAGGTGAAGAAATACATCAACTCATTCTCAGTTCATTTGATTAATACAATTTATTAAAAAATTGAAATAAAATTATACAATGAATTATCTTATAAAGTAGGTTTGAAGGTTATTTAGCCAATAAGAAGTTTAATACTATATAAATTTAGGCATTAATATTACTACTACTATAGTAACAAGTTTTTATAAGTGACATTCAATATTACAAACATAAGTAATACTTATACAACAATGCTTAGATTATAATAAATAGCTGAATAAATAGTCACTACCAAGTAGACATTTAAACTTACCAGCTGAAATTTCTCTGTCTCCTAGAAGAATATCTTTCAGTGTAAAAGGCGTGGAAGTAAATTTATATCTAGGAAACAGAAAGCACCGTTTCTTTTTTACCACCAGACTTAGAGGTTGGTATTTGTCAGCCTCACTGAGACTTGGAACAGGAACTAATCTCCCTCCATCTCCAACTTGTTTGACAAAGCTCTTGGTAGCGGCAGCAAACATATTAATATGGTATCAAAACCTCATCAACTGCAACCCTCAGGTAATAAATCCATATTTTCCAAGAAAACTAGGCGCAAAACTAGCTCTTGTTTGATTTTAAATATAATTATACACCTTAACAATACAAAGCATGGCTCCACCAAGATGTTTACCAGTGTGCAATTCACAACACTGCCTCCCTTGGTGCGCTCAGGTAATGAATTATAGAGGAACAATGTAAAATGATATACTATTGATAAAAAGCAAGTCCAACTTGGAATTCTAGCCTATAGCACCAAGGTATACACAGAAAAGTAATAATTTTAAAATACTACCAATGTCCTCGATGAGAGTCTGTGTTGATAGTAGTTTGCCAGTTTTGAGGGCAAGCAATTTAGCCCTATGAGGAACGAAGCAATTTGGGGATTAATGTTAGGCCTGAACACCACACTACAGTGGGCCTATGTCCAAAGGGAATTCTTCCTCTAGCCAGTCATGCTAAGTTTGGCAACAAAAAGCGCTGTTTTGAATTCTTATGGTATACAGTTCACTGAGCATTTCATTCATTTTTCTTGTATGCACAAAATTAATGTAAAATGTAGATTCACAGCATTTTTTTAAAAATTACATGCAGATTTTTAGAAAATACAGAATGAAAATCAAATTACATGTACTGTATACTATATAAACTACGACTTAGGAGTTTCTTACTCTGAAGACTACACACAGACATTTCTTTGAAGTAGTCTGTTTGAATTTTTTTTCTTTTTGTTTCATTATCCGAGTTATTCAACCCTTAAATAGAGCTATATAAGGTTTTGCCTCCTTTTTTTAAATGAAATCTGCATTTTAAAAACAGATTTTAGCAACAAATGTGAGTGATGAAATAGTGTATTGCTATACACAGTTAATATAACATCCTCTCATCCCAACATCGTAACATCCTAACAGCGGCTAGCGTAATTAATACAGATACATTTGTAGAGTGGGCAGGAGGAAGAACAGAGGATAGATTTAATTCAAGACCCAAATAATAAAAATCAATTTGATTCAATTCTGGACTCTCTTTTTCACTGGCTTTTAAGGATCCGGGTTTAAGTACCAGCAGAGTTTGTGAATAACCATGGTTTTAAGTAATGTCCGTAGGTACGAATAGTAGCATTGCGCAAAGCAATCTCCTAGAGCACAAGGAGTCATTTTTACAAGTGGCTAGCAAACCCCTAGAGAAGCGACACATTCAACGTCGCTTTCTGATCCCCACCAAAGGAAGTGCATCTCAAACGCCATTCCAACCCACAACACAGGTGTGTAGAAGCATTTAAATGGCAACCAGCCCACAGAAAAGCCTTCCTTCACCTAACGTGCCTCGCTGGGTTCACGCGCCCAGCATTTGCCTTGCCACAAAGTCTAGAAGACAATGCGCCCCAGCTGCCGAGATAGGAGAGGGGGGTTTCCGGACGTCGCAGCGAGTTCCTAATGGCTGGGTTCGTGGAGCTAAGAGCCCACTGCAGCCTTCAGGGAGGATTTTACCCGGAGCCTCGAACCTCGGGGCCTTAGGAGGCTCTTTTATCTTTCTCGTAAGTGACGCAGCCCCCTTCCTCCACACCACCTCCATCAAATAAAAATGCTAGGCTTCAGGGCCCTCCCGACCAGCCTTCTCTCCGAAAGAGAAACGGCATCATTTAAAAGGCACAGAATTGTGGGCACAAGGCCACAAGATCAGTCGCCCAGAAGCCTGGGAGCCAATTGCAAGGCACAAACAGTAGCTGAAAAGCGCAGGGGCTGCCAGAAAAGGCAGGGGCCAGGGGAAACGGGGCGGGGCGCTGAGAAGACACACCCCTAGGTGGGCGGAGCCATCTAAAGACAAGGGCCCGGAACCTGGGCCGAGGGGCGTGGCCGGGAGCCGGGGGCTGGCGTTGCACCACCGAGGCTCCGCCTCCGCCCCCGCCCGACCCTTCGCAAGAGGGACGCAGGCGGGGAGGAGAGAGGGAGGAGGAGGCGGTGGCGGCGGCGGCGGCACTGGCGCGCTCCTCTCGGGGACCGGCCGACACGGGGGGCGAAGACGTCGCTCCACACCGCCCTTCCTCCCGCCGCCGAACCGTCCCTTCTCACCATGTCCCAGAGCAGGCATCGCGTCGTGGCCCCGCCACTAGAGCGCGAGGACAGCGGGACCTTCAGGTCAGCATTGGGCAGTAGGGGCGGACTCTGGCTGGGCCGGGAGTGGTGGGGTAAGGGAGGCGGGGGCGAGGGAGCCGGTTCTCCAGCGGCATTCTGGGTAAAGCCCCTTCCAGGCGTCCCCGCCCCCGCTGCTGCAGGGGACTGTCGGCTCTCGGCCCCGCCCTCCCGACGGCTCTCGGGCTGGGGTCTGCGGCCTGGCCCCGCCCCTCTTTCTGCCTGGGATGTTGGGTGGGCAGAGGTGGCGAGTCCGTGGGAAAGAGCTTTGTGGACTTTGTCCAGAGAGATTACAACACGGGTGACCTCCCTATTCTGAGAATCCTACCTACCCGCATTTCAGTTATCTCCCTTAAGACTCCTTTAACCCTCCCAAAAACCCGCCGCATTGGGGCTGAGAGACTGGCGTCCCTCGCCTGCCAGCTCTGGCTCTGGCCACTGGGGAGCTTTCACTACCTCCCTGGCGCCCTTGGCAGCTGTCAAAACTGGCTTCTGAAATTCTGGTTCCTTCCCGCTTTGGCATGCACACAATGCACACCTCTTTCTGGTTCTTGCAGTCTGGGGAAGATGATTACAGCTAAGCCAGGGAAAACGCCGATTCAGGTATTACACGAATATGGCATGAAGACCAAGAACATCCCGGTATATGAGTGTGAACGATCCGATGTGCAAATACATGTGCCCACTTTCACCTTCAGAGTTACCGTTGGTGACATAACCTGCACAGGTCTGTATGCACAGTTAACCCTATTGACCACGCTCAGTTTGCTGTCAAGACTTGACATTACTTTTCTATTCCAAGAAATGCCCTTTTTTTACCAGAGGCAGCTGGTAGGAGCTGGCACTTGAAACTGAGATGTCTGATCTGAGGTCACTGAGACCAACTTTATTGGACTCTTTGCCTAATTTTCTCTTCCCCAGACAACAAGAGAAGCTCAGAAGCATACTTTAGGGATCCTAGGGCTGTTCCTAGATTTAAGGAGAAGCAGAAAAAGTTCTTGGAGCAGCATTGGATTAGTAGGGGCTATCAGATTTCAGAGCTTCTTAGGTAATCACAGATGGCTGGGTGGGGAGGCATGATCTGAAAACTTTCTAAGTCTCGGCTCTCTGAACACACCATTTGGCACTTTGGGCCGGTAAAACATCACTCTTAATCTAAGCAAAATGATGGAGTCAGAGGCTCAAATACAGTACATTGCTTAATATATGCTAGATTCTACAGTTTGTGAAACTATACAAGCTTTTTTTAAAAGATTCATTTATTTATGCATACAGAACTGGGGTACAGGCCAGAGATGCAGGGGCAGTGAGAGGATTCACCAGAGACAGAGTGGGGAGCAGGACAGAACTGACAAAGAACATTGCTGAGGCCAGCAGGGGGTGGGTCAGGAGAAGTCTGCTGCACCATGTGGGTCCCCTCCAGGGTGGGGATGGAACTCATGTTGAAGTGGCTTTAGCTTCTTAGTGCTGTGCTTTAACCCGCTGTGCCACCAGGGACGACCTATACAGGTATTTTAATAAAACATTATCCCCTTTCTTATACATAAGGAAACAGATTTGGAGAGATCATGAATTATATGCCCAGTATCACAGAGCAGAGATAGAATTCAGAATTTAGAATCATACCTTATTATCTTGTAAGTTTATGCAAATAATTGAATTGCCCATTTGTAGATATAGATATTTTATTGCCTGTTAGTTATAAGCACAAAAAATAGTGGATATTAAATTTAGTTTGAAATACTGCCAATAAAAATGTTCAGGAATGCTGAAGATCCACCACCTGATAACCTAAAGTTACTTGTTTGTATCCCCGGAAATCTGAAGTCCACTTTTGCCTTGAAGCTTCTTTATAGGCAAAAGCCCATACTAGGCTATATTATCTTTCAAGGCAGAGACTGTTCTCTGCTGTATAAAAGAGTACCTTTTGATAATGTGTGTCCTCTGATTCTTGAAGGTCACACTTGAAACTTATTCCAAGTGCCTTTTGTTTCCTCCACACAGAGCACTGGACATCTGGTTTGAGACCACTTCCACAGGGTTCTCAACACCTAATTCGCACTCAGAAAGAAAAATGCCATGTGTGACTGATCACTGAAATTTAGACATCAATCTCAGTGCCTAATCAGGTCTGGCCATTATCCCTCTTCGCTACCCACCTAGGGAGATGGAACATGCATAACAGAAGCTCTCACTTTCTTCCCAAAGGAAACATTCTCCATTCTACTCAACTTGTAGGCAGTGGCAGCTTAGCCAAACAATAGGTTTCATCCAGAGTAGGATGGACCAGTTGAGTAAAGTTGTGCACCTTTTGTGGTCACTATTGGTATAAGTAACTCCCTTAAAGAAAACTTTTTTTTAAAGATTTATTTATTTATGCATACAGAACTGGGGTACAGGCGAGAGGTGCAGGGGCAGTGAGAGGATTCACCAGAGAGACAGAGTGGGGAGCAGAACAGGCAGATCGACAAGTACACTGCTGAGGGGAGCAGCGGGCAGGTCAGGAGAGGTCTGCTGCACCATCTGGATCACCTCTGGGGCTGGGATCAAACTCATGCTGCAGTGGCTTTAGCTTTTTAGTGCTATGCTTTAACCTGCTGCGCCACCAGGGAGAGCCCAAGAAAACTTTTTGCTACAGAAGAATTTTCTTCCTCTAGGAATAAGGGAAAAATAAAATACCAAATTGCGATTTTTTTTCCAGAGGTGTGTATCACTGGTCTACTTCATTACCATTTTATGTGGTAAACCCATAAGAGAGAAATAAGTATTTTTATATAAACATGCATAAACTTAAATATATGAAACTTTAAATTGTGATTTTTAATGTATTAATTTCATGTGGTGACTCTCATAGTGTGTAACTATGAGGGTATATTTGTATTTAACGAGTATATAAGTATAATGTATATTTGTATTGAATGAGTATAAGTATATAAATTCTGTAGTGACTTTGTATTATAAAGTCATCTGTACAAGCCTCACATTTTGACAATATAACATCTATACAATTTTTTTTTTTTACCTTAATTCAGGTGAAGGTACAAGTAAGAAGCTGGCGAAACATAGAGCTGCAGAGGCTGCCATAAACATTTTGAAAGCCAATGCAAGTATTTGGTGAGCTAAATTTCTTTGTATTCTGCAGCTCAAAAATATCATGAATGAGGTAAGATTAAAAGTTTGGACATGCTCACAAAAGCCACAAAGTAAACAGTTGTTAGTATCTAGCTCTAGAATTTGTTCTTTGTAAAAACCTGCTATCCATTAAAGAAAACCTTATTCTTAAGAAATTAGAACCAGCAATTAACTATTAAATGAAGATTCTCATGAATTAATCTCCCCACTTCTCCTCAGATAGGGTGCAGCAGTAGAAAGCCAGAATTTTCTGGCGACTGTGTAAGATGGTGTTGTTTCTACATTGACAAAATAAAGTGTAAAGTAGCAATAGGTCATCTAAAAGTACTTGTTTAGGAATTCCAGCTTGGAAGAAGGAAACAAAGGGAATGTATACAGATGTAAGAGGATATTTCAGTGGGATGTTAACTCCTGATATATTTGTCCAAAATAAATTTGCTCTACTTTAGGTGCTTTCTGAAGGTATAGCAGTTCTAAAGCATCTGATGTCATAAGGGGCGTCCTTTATTTCGCGAGGGGTATATTCTGGGGCCTGGCATGCTTCAAATTCTTCTCTACATGCACTTAGATATTTTGGAGTACAATCTGGGATAATCTGCTCATAGTATCTAGCAGAGTGCTCTGGGAATTCAGAACAGGCTTTTTGTTCCTCAGCCACAGCAGGACTTAGGATTATTGAGGTTCTCATGCAGCTCTGCTCCTTTTTCTAAGTCACTCTGAGCCATTTTGGAAGTTTCAAACTAACCAGTAACAAGCTTTGGATCTCACAAAATGATGCTTGACTCTCCAGGTCATCAGTTATAATTGATTTATACTAGCTTTCATGTTAAGTGGTGTGGCAGGTGTTAGATTTCCCCCTGCTAGTGATGCCACGCTATTGTTGTGCAGCCCAAAATATTGTGTATATTCGTAAAAATGAGTGTACAGAATGTCCTTTATGCACTTGGGTACTTTGTCAGCAAAAAAGGCTAACTAACTATTATATATTTGTGCTTCTTGACAGATAAAATGGGAATTACTAAGCTGTAATCAGGTGTAAAGTAGGCTGATTTAATTAATACAGAGACTTTCTCGCTTCATCACATTTATTTGGGTAGCTGCAGCATGCATCATTGTAAGTGAATATTTGTATTTTATTAGCCTATATAAAGATTCAAATTCTGGAAGTTGGATAAGAATCTTGAGGAAGTGGCAGTAACTAAACCTCATTAATCAGGGAAGAAATGACTCTTCAGTTGCTTTGGTGGTAGTAACCTTGGAATGCGGCTTAGTGTTAAGCACCGAACTCCCAAGTAACTAGTAATTTCCAAGTACGTAGAAGAGATTCTTCTCATTTTCTGCAATCATAATCCTCACAGGCTGAAACCAGACTCATGCAGGCATCTTTTTTATGCAGAATACATATAAACATTAGGAGAATACCCTAGCACTGAACCTAACAGATCAAACAGATCTTTCTTCCACAGTTCCTGAATGAAAACAATTTATGATTTGTATTAGTCACATTGTTAAGCTAAATTCTTGACTAGTTAGCCTTACCTTTCATATGTAGTTGTAACAGTAGTATGCTTTGTTTAAATAATTTTTATTGAACCTGCAGGGCATATAAAGGTAAGTAATTCATAGATCTTAAAATCCCCATCAATTTGAAGGGGGGTGGGGACAGCTGCATTAGGGTGAAGGATATATTTGTAAGAATATATATTCATAGCAACATTGTTTCCTGAAGAAAGGGTTAAGCCAAGTATGAGAATGGCATAAAGGAGGGAGAAATTCTATACCACTTGGGTGCAAGGATAGACTTCATAGCTTAAGTGGCATTTGAGCTCTATACCTATATACCTTGTATAGTAGACAGACCAGATCATCATAGAAGAGATGAGAGGGAAGGACTTTACATGTGGAATGAGCAGCAAGGGCAGAGGCATAGAGGGTTAAATAGAAATGCTGGCAATTTGTTTAAAACTGTGGAGAAATTATCTTGCTTTATAATGTTTTTAAAATGTTTAGCTTTGCAGTTCCTGACCCCTTAATGCCTGACCCTTCCAAGCAACCAAAGAACCAGCTTAATCCTATTGGCTCATTACAGGTGAGTACATTAGACTTGTCACACTTAACATTTTGTTACTGGAGAAAGATGTCATAAATTGATAGTATCACAGGGGCTGAGACAAGGAATTAATATGTTAAAGATAAGACAGTATATTATTTTTTTCAAGTTATCATTAGTTATTACAATGCTAACTTGAAGTGATTTTTCTATTTATTTACATTTTGGATATTCTTCCATATACAGTATCTGCCTTTGGTTTGTGGAGTTCTCATTTGAGATCAAGAGGACCTCAGTGCACATGGGTAGAGTGTTTTATACTTTAAGAATATTTCTTGCCACGCTGTGACAAACCTTTCTACTTCTGTTGAAACAGAAGACTTTTAAAAGGACCCAAGCCGGGTAACCTAACTCAAGAAAAGGGAAGTAGTCTGTTTATTTGCTTATTCTACAGAAAAAATATATTCAGCTTTGAATTTCAGCATGCAGAATATCCTTCTTGCAAATTATCCATGTGCTCTGTTGGACAACTCCCCTACCTGTTATCCAACTAGTCTTTTGGTCTCTTTTGTGCTGTGTGACTTCTTCTGTAGTTATTTTCCCCCTCCTTCTTTAACAGCATCCAAGTCTATTTGGTTGCTATCTCTGCTGTCATTTGCTTTTAATTAAATGAAGTGGTTGGCCAGCTACAGGTGTGGAAGCATAAAGCTTAGAGGGGGAGGCTTTAGGAACTAATGATGGGAGAACTGTGATTGATCTCTCTGATGTTCCCAAAGAGGGTCTTTCTATCTGATTGATATCAGTTAACTGTGGCTAATAGGAAAACACCATTCAGAGCAGAAAACAGTGTCAACTTCAGTACTATAATCTTATAAAATGTAAAATGCAAGTATATCTTTGGGAAACAAATGAGGTCAGTCCTCATTTTTTCTTTGCAGAATATCATTCTTTTCAAATATATAATTAGAAAATCAAAATCATGAAAGAGTATCATTCATATGATTGAACCATTATAATAAAATTACTATTATTACTATTAAGAATTACTGTTGATTTAATAGGAATTGGCTATTCATCATGGCTGGAGACTTCCTGAATATACTCTTTCCCAGGAGGGAGGACCTGCTCATAAGAGAGAATATACTACAATTTGCAGGCTAGAGTCATTTATGGAGACTGGTACTTATTTCTTTTTTATTTTCACACAGTTGAAGACATTGGAAATATTTTCAGATGATGATATCACCACAGAGCTACCTGTGGTGATATCTTTTCAGATATTTCTATGGAGAAAAATTTGACAATCTGCTATTCTACTGTCTCATTTTTCTGCAGTTGAATTTAAGTGTAAATATTTGGCTTAAGATAACTTTTACATCATAATTTGACATTTATAAAAATCATGGTTAATAGAAAAAAATAATGGATCTTTAGGTAGTCTTCATGGTGGATAAATGACTTTTAAAAAACTTGTTTTGGAAAAATTAATACATCACTTAGTCTTAGTAGCTATTCTAAAGATAGGAATAGATTACATTTGAAAACAAAATAATAAGTGGAGGCCAAATGATAAAAAAATATTGCAGTAAGATAAAAATAAAGTAGAAATTATCCTTTTGAATTATAGTGTGTTCTATGTTTTAAAGACCATAAACTTAGAGAAAAAACTAGGCACTTGAAAAAGATCTAATGGGAATTCCTATTTTAACTCCTCATACATATTTTTGCCATCTTTCCAGTGGCTTGAAATGTAACTATACCTTGGCTAGATATTAGTTTCAAATAATAAATAACAGAGAGGTAGCCTGAGCTGGTGCAGAAGCAAGGACCTCAATTTCTGTTTTTGATGCAGTGCTTGATTGGTAAGGTTAGATAAATTACTTCATCTCCTTGAGCCTCAGTTTTTAAAAGTTTTAGACAAAAGCATGGAAATAGATGGCTTTGAACTTTAGCATTCCTAAGCCTTATTCATGTTAAACAAATTCCACATGGTAGTCAGTTTTAAGAGATGGTAAATAAAAATAGGCATTGAGAGATAAGGGAGTAATTCAAACATATCTTGATTAAATGTGAATATTTGATCCTAAAGAAACTAAATATAGTTCACTAAGTTGGTTATAGGGAAATATAGCTGTCAAAGAAAAACATTATAATTTAATATTATATTGAAATTAACTTAAGATTAAAGAAAAACTGTTAAAAGAAATGCCTTCAGAAATGTTAGAATTAATAACTATATAAAGCACAACAAAAAAATATGTCAAGTCAGTAAAACCATGAGCATAAAACCAGGAATAAAATCATGAGGTTGTTCTCTGATTAAACCCAATACTTTATGCATTTTATCATCCTTTATGGTCACTAACTCCTTTTCTAAATTACTATTTCTGTTTATTTAGGGAAGGGGGCATCAAAAAAACAAGCCAAGAGAAATGCTGCTGAGAAATTTCTTGCCAAATTCAGTAATATTTCTCCAGAGAACCACATTTCTTTAGTGAGTAATGATCTTACAGCTATGATGTTAATGTGATTAAGCATGTCCTGCTGTAGGAAGTTTCCCTTGATTTCTTGTGTACATGCTTGGGAGTTGCAATTTTCTTTATAGTCTCTTCATTGTTCTGGTGTATGCTACCCTATATTAGTTGCATCCTATTTGTAAGCCAGGGACACAGGTGTGACCAGGTAAGTGAACTTGGGGAACAATTATTTGAAACGTATTTTAGCTAGGAAATGAAAAGTGAGGACTTTAGCAGTGTCTTCCCTGAGTTTATGATAAAATAAGGGCTCCTTCATCCAGACAAAACCAGACTGTACACAAATAAGTAATATAATGTTAGTATTACCTTATTAAAAAAAAAAAAACCTTTACACTCTTTTTTTAAAAAGATTTATTTATTTATACAGAACTGGGGTACAGGCCAGAGATGGCAGAGGGTGAGGATTCACCAGGAACAGAGTGGGGAGCAGAACAGGCAGATCGACAAAGTACACTGCTGAGGGGAGCAGCGGGCGGGTCAGGAGAGGTCTGCCTCCCCATGTGGATCTCCTCAGAGACAGGCGGGGATCAAACTCATGCAGAAGTGGCTTAAGCTTCTTAGGGCAGTGCTTTAACCAGCTGCACCACCAGGGAGGGCCTACACTCACTTCTTTTAAAAGCAGATCACCGGGCCCTCCCTGATGGCACAAAGGGTTAGGACACAGCACTGCAAGCTAGCGGCAACCACTTCAGTGCAAGTTTGATCCTGAGCCCCAGAGGCGATACATGGTACAGCAGACCTCTCCTGTCTTGCCCGCTGCTCCCCTCAGTAGTATACTTTGTTGATCTGCCTGCTCTGCTCCCCACTCAGTCTTTGGTAAGTCCTTTCACCACCCCTGCACCTCTGGCCCGTACCCCAGTTCTGTGTGCATAAAAAAAGAAATCTTTAAAATTAGATCTCAAGTGCCACTAAAATCACAAAGTCCATAAGTTTACAGTTAAATTCTGTTAAATCGAGGAAGAGAGCAATTCCAATGCTATTTAAACTCTTCTGGACAATATATATAAGAGAAGCTTTTATACTCTCAAAAACAAATCTAACACACCAAGACCCGACAGTTTCGAATCCCATTGGAAAAAATTATGGATTAATCTCCCTAATGTTGAAACATCTTCATATCCAATAGAAATTAAATGAACAATATGTCAACATGGCGGGGAAGGTTTGTTTTAGAAATGCATGGGTATTTCAAGATTAGTAAATCAGAGAAACACTTCTAAAATACCCATGTTAGGATCAAAATATATGCTTGAAAAAAATCAAGCTTGTGCTTACAGATTACATTCATCCCCATTAATTTCAAAAATAAAATAAGGATGTCCACTATTATCTTTTTTTTTTTTTAAATCTTGTCCTTAAGGTACCAACCAGAGTAGCTGGATAAGAAAAATAATCAGAAGTTGGAAATAAAAATAGATAAAAGTGATCATTAAGCTGAAATGATATGGTTGTAGACCTGTAAAGCCCTGGAGAAAAACTCCTAGCATATTCTCTCAAGAGAATTTATCAGGATAACTGATGATAAAATCAAAATCAGTAACTTTCTCATATTACTTAGAGTATCACCAGAATAATTAAGAATAGAAGGTTAAACAAACAAAAAAAAAAAATAGAAGGTTAAAGGGCCCTCCCTGGTGGTGCAGCAGGTTAAAGCACAACACTACAAGAGAGCCACAGCCACTTAAGTGTGCTTTTGATTCCTTCCCCCGAAGTCATCCACATGGCGTGGCAGACCTCTCCTGACCCGCCTGCTGCTCCTCTCAGCCATGTACTTAGTCAGCCTGTTCTACTCCCCACTCTGTCTCTGGTGATTCCTCTCACTGCCCCTGCACCTCTGTACCCCAGTTCTGTATGCACAGATAAATATTTTTTTAAAAAAAATAGAAGGTTAACAATTATTGCTTCTAGAAAAGTGACTAAAAAGTGGGGGTGGAACAAGGCCAGCATTGTTGCTTTTATAATTCTCTATCTGATTTTTTGTCATGTGACTGTTTGACTAGCAAAACTTATGAAGCCTGATAATGTGGGCTACTTTATACCAAAATAGGTAAATCCTGTAAAAACATACTAGAAAAAATCAGTTTTCCTATTTACAAATATTAAGACGTGGAATATAGTTTTAGTAATAGAAAAGAGAGTTAACCGTCTGGAAAATACACTTTAAAAAGACTCATGAGGAAAACTTTACAACAAGGGATATAACAGAAATTAAATAAATGTAGAGTTGCCTCTATTTGCAATATGAAGACTCAGTATTGAAAATATATAAAAACAAAATGCAGTCTCAGTCAAAATCTATTTAGATTTGATGACAGTCTTATTAAGTGTATTTGGAAATAAATATTCTCAATAACCAAGAACACCAAAAAGGACGCATATAGAAAGTGGGGTTACAAACTGGTCCTCCAGGGAGTGGAACGGAGGTCTTCGAGGAAGGGGTGGTGAAGAAAAGTGACTATTCTTCATTATATATTTGTTCTTGCTGTGTGTATTTTTTTTAATGTGTCAATGAGTTAAAAAGGATGTAAATAGAATGTAAAATTCTATTTAGTAAATGCTACAACATGGTCATTCCTGTGATTTTTAAAAGTCCCTTAACGTCTGTTCAATAAAGAAAGAATAAGGATAGTTTCCCTTATGTCAGAGAGCAATTGTGTGGGGTTTTGGTTTTTGAGCATTTTTGTTTGTTTTGTTTAGAACAATACAGAAAAAAAAAATTTGAATATCTTAACTCACATGGAAATAAATATCATAAATTAACATGGAAATGTAAAATATTCTGAAAACTATAATAAAGAGGACAGAGTTAGGGGAGAATAAAAGTAAGAAAAAGGGGAGAAAGAAACAAACCCTAAAAAGCTCATGTGGGTCTAAAATAAGCCTGATAAAGACTTACCAACATCCTGGCATTCACTTGAATGACTTCCTCTTAAATGCAGCTTGCACATTTCAACTTTTTTATAGTATATTTTCTGCTTATAATGATTGGTATTTAATATTAAAATAATAAAGAGATGGAATTTGCTCTGTATTTTAATTTAAATTGTTCCATTAGATCTAATTCTTTGCAGGTCTGTTTACAGTGCTCTTAAATATCTTATGTCTTATGATCATCACAAAACTCAGCTGAGAGATTTTTGTACTATATAAAAGTATTTCTAAACACTTCTAGCTTCTATATTTTCTTATGACATTTTTTATGTGTATACTTGTCTTATCTAATTAAATTTTAAAGTTAACCAAATGATACCCATTTAAACATGTTATAAATTATTAAATATGACTGCCTAATAAGTACTATTTTTTGCGAAGCACCAAATCTATAGTTATGTCAATATATAGTAACATAATTTTAAGCTGCAACATATCATATATAAAACAAGTAATGTCTACCATTTGAAAACGTGTCAACAATTAAACTGAACGAAATAAATACATAAAACCCAATGGATTATACCACTATTGCACTGTTGTTTCAAAGAAAAAGTATCCCTTTAGTTACTACTGATAGGCCAAAAAAACATACTATTGTGAGGGGGAAACTGATACTTTTCATACATTCAGAAATGTGTTTTGAAAGGAGAAACCGTAAAGGCCCCCAAATTGTGGTATAACATGAATTGACTTATTTTCAAATAGATTTGGTGATATTTTTTAAATATGACTTTAAATGTCAGCCCTTTATTTTCACATCCTCCCTTTTAAGATTTACATTTATAGTGACAGCAAGTACTCTCTAACATTCACTGGATTAGGCAAAGATCAGGTCAGTCATCTTACAGATGGGTTAATCTGCAAAAAGTAAAAGTGCAAAAATATGAAAACAAAATCTAAATTATGTACATATAATTGAGTTTGCAATGGGGAAAAAGTTGAGCAGTGTACACTTTCTGATAAGTGCACTTTAGCACAATGCCAGCAGATACCGCTCAGAGCAAGGCTCACTAATTTGGAGTCATTACTTCTTTGTCAAGTGTGGTTCATGTTGCATAATGAAAAAAGTCAGAATTCTTTTAGAACTGTATCCTTGCTCTGTGGAGATGGGAAGGGGAGGAAAAATTAACAGTGAGCTTTATTTTTTAGACAATTTACTTAATAAGTTATTTTATGGTTACTAAAGCTATGTACTGTTGAATAAACTCAGCAGGAACAGCAAGCTAAGGAAACAAAAATTGAAAATGTCTATGAGGCCAGCTGGTGGCTATCATCTTTAAAATCTAAATTGCATGTGCATTGAGAAAAATGTTGCTGCTTCAAAATAACCAAAATTGGTAGGCAACTGAGGTCTCAAAACAGATTCCTCTTCTCCCATCACCATGAGACTCAACCAGTTCCTACTTAGAATTAATATGTCTATAATTAACCTGAATATGTCCACAGTTAACCTAACACCACACACATGCAGACTTCCCACTACAAACCTAAAATTTACCCTAAAACTTTGGTTTCCTATAAAATTCTGCTAATACCCTAAAGGAGAATTTGATAGGAAAAATTTAAGTAACAGAGAAAATGCTCCGTAAGCGGACATATAAGTACTTTTAATAATAACAGTTTTGGAACCCTATCCTAGTTAAGAGTATTAATTTCTATTTCTGTTTTTCAGACCAATGTAGTGGGACATTCTTTAGGATGTACTTGGCATTCCTTGAGGAATTCTCCAGGTGAAAAGATCAACTTATTGAAAAGAAGCCTCCTTAGTATCCCAAATACAGATTATATCCAGCTGCTTAGTGAAATTGCCAAGGAACAAGGATTTAATATAACATATTTGGATATAGGTATGATTTATTTTTCCTTTGGTATTATCTCAGAACAACTTTCCTCTTCTGAGAAATACAAGTTCACTGAACCAGTTTTTAATGTTTGGTATGATAACTAATGTATATACAATCAGAATAAGAAATACAAGTGGGCCCTCCCTGGTGGCTCAGTGGGTTAGGACACAGCTGCTTCAGCATGAGTTCAATCCCCGCCCTTGAGGTGACCCACATGGAGTGGCAGACCTCTCCTGGCCTGCCCACTGTTCCCCTCAGCAGTGTACTTTGTCAGTAAGCCTATTCTTTTCCCCTCCCTGTCTCTGTTGAATCCTCTCACTGCTCCTGCACCTCTGACTTGTACCCCAGTTCTGTGTGCATAAATAAATAAATCTCTAAAAGAAAAAAAAGAAATACAAGTAATACTGATGGTTAATAAGAAAATTATTGTTTGAAAATAACTACTGCATCTTTTATTTCACAAGTTTCTTTTTTAAATGTTTGAGAAATTAAACTTCTTAGTTTATTTTATTCATAAGAAATTCTGACTACATGTAACTACCAGAGCAGTAGCATGTATAACTGAGCTGTCCCATTCTTATGGGTAACAGCTAATATCTACATGGTCACAACAGTAAAGGCAGCAATAGCTAAGATTTATAGTTTGCTGTGTTCTAAGGACATTACATGTATCAACTTACTGAATTCTCAGAGTAACCTTGTGAAATAAGGTCTGTTATCATATATTTACCTTTGTGTGTTAAGTTTGAGAAACTTGTCCAAGACCACTTAGCTAGTCAGTGGTAGAGCCAGATTAAGTGAAGAATCCTAGCAGACACACTGTCTGTTGAACTAGCTCTGATAGGCAGCTTGACCAAAAGACACCCACATATCTAGAACAAGTAGCAGGTTTGTGAGATGCAGTCTCTTCATGTCACCTCGTATTCATTCTGAGGGATGAATGGTGACAATTCAATTTACAGGTTTATCCCAGCCCAACTATCATCTTCTATATTTTTTCTAGCTCTTATTCATTTATGTAGCTGCAAACAGATTGGAAAACAAGTCAGATGGATTTTTTAAATTCAGCTTAAAAAGCTGAGCAATTTGTATTTATGTGTGCATGATGGGTATACAGAGATTGACACAGAACCTGGGAATGTCATGCAGACAAAAACTTAGCAAAGATAACTCATGAGAGACCATTCAGTAAATATTTATTAAGTATCCATACTGTTTCCATGTTTGAAACTCAACTGAATAAGTCATGCCATAAATAAGACTAAGGAAGACTGAGTCTCGAAAAACAAGGAAACCTGAGATTTTTTTTTAGATTATGAACTAATGATGCCTTTGAAAAATTCCTTACTAATTTTGCAAACAAAATAGTGATTATAAATCTAGAACAGCCATCTAAAAGCCACAGTTATTTTGGCAAACTTCTATGCAATTACCTTCCAAAGAACCTAGATGTTCTCCAAGGAAGATGTACGTCAGAATTACCTTTGGATGTTATATTTTTTAATGCAAGACTGGACAGTGCCTCCCCAATTTCTGCATTTCCGCATTGAGCAGGTCAATGCAGCCTCAGTTTTTATTTCCTTAAAGTTTTGTCAAGTGATTATGAAGCTCAGCTGTGTTAGAAAATAGCTATAATAGCTATAGCTGAGCAATGTTCTTTGGTTTTTGTTTTATTTGCCAAGGATAACACAGGTAATGATTAAGTGGCATGTCAGACCATGGATACTTATGGAGGGATAAAAATATTATAATAATAAAAACTATTTATAAAAGATATGTTCTCTCTCCCCTCGGCATTAACACCATGTTTGAATATGTCCTTACAGAAGAACTGAGTGCCAACGGGCAATATCAGTGTCTCGCCGAATTGTCCACCAGCCCCATCACAGTCTGCCATGGCTCTGGGATCTCCTGTGGCAATGCACAAAGTGATGCTGCTCACAACGCTCTGCAGTATTTAAAGATAATAGCAGAAAGAAAGTAAATTTGAGCAGCACGGAAAACCCTTCAGTAGCACATAAAGTTTCCCTTTCGCCCCTTCCCAAGTAAAACATTTGCTATATAAAGTTTGAGTTTGCGTGTGGTTTCTCAGTCTCTTCAGAGTCCATCAACATTCCACATTTAATTATCTCCTAATAGTTGTGTTAAGCTCTTTTTAATGGCTTCAACTTTGTATTGGTATATTGTATTTATAAACTTTGTACCATAGGCAGAGTGTAGCACCCATTTTGCAATGCCATGTGCATAAAAGGAAGAAACTGCATGATTATCGAAGATGATGGTAATGATGAAGAAGAAATAAAACTGCTAGCAACAGTCTTTCTTACTGGTGCCTAACGTCTTTATTGTGTGAGGCTCTATAAAAGGAATTTAAGGAATTAGAGTGTTGATGAACACAGTAACAGGCTTTTGCTGAATGTGATTATTAAATTTCAGGGAACATGATTAGTCTGCTGTGTATTTGAATCCATGTAATAAAGAGCTGTTGTTATAATGGGTTCTGTTCATTTTATTAGTGTTACTGGCTTCATGGTGGCTACATTCTTTTAGTTGTTTTTGATGATACCTGAGTTTAAGGTACCCCAGGTCAGGTTCTTCCTGCTGTTCATATTTTCCCTGCTTCTGGTTGTCTAGGTTAGGAAGCTTGCACGCTAAAGATGCATTTCAACTCACTCCTGTCAGATTGTCCAGATGTTCTGGGGAGTTAACTATCATCAGGTGCAGTATTTTGTTTCCCCTTGTGTTGAGGCTCCTAGTCTAGTTAGTTGTACCTACTAACCACATAAGGTTAAATCCCAAGTAGGCTGAATGGGCAACTATGCCTGTTTTAGATGGTAGGAAAAGATCAGTGGATGCTGTATGACATTTATGATGAGTTTCAAAGGGATAATCAGTGCTTAAAGGATGAGTAAGGCGGTGCCATCTGTAGCAGAAAAATACCTTTCAATAAACAGCTCCTGCTATGCTGCTGGACCCTGGTAGCGATATAGCACCTGACAATGGGACATTCCTTGGCCATGTTGCAAAACTACCTAGTAGGAAGTGGGTTCTAACAGCGACATCAAGAGAGAAAGGTGGGGAAGAGTTGTGTAGCAATGCTAAGAGGAAGACTACACGTGGGACCAAACATTGGACTGGGGGCACTGTATGCTACTTCAGCAGGCAGCCCAGACTCCTATGTCATCCACCAGTGATGTCCCAGTGCCTTATCCTCAGCTCACACCTATCACTACTGATCCTGTGTGGCCAGTTGATGGAAAAAGCCTAAACCTGACTCATAGATGGGAAAGGACAGTACATGGGTGCAAACTGCAAAGAGATGATATCACAGCCCCACTAAGTGTAACGTGCAAGTTAGTGAGGGGAAATCCTCCTGGAAAATCTTTCCTAATTTGGGATAATACACACAGGTATACTATTGTGGAGAAGGTGGCCCAAAGTTAGTTGATACTTGGCAACTGGTTAGGAACCTGAGAGGAAATAGATCAGATGAGTAAGGACAAGTACAGCTGAAATGTTACATGAGTGGGTACCAGATGTGAAGAGCTTCATATTACATGCTGATCCAACCATTAAACACCCAAGATGGAAGCTGATGAAGTGAGTTGGCTTGTTGGCATCATCTAGCATCTGCTATTTGAATAGCCAGTGTGACGAGCTTGGAGGCTAAGGACTAGCCCATTGGGTTGGACTTCCACAGTCAGGATAGAACTAGCTATACCCACTGCTAATTGTTCAGCAACAAAGATCAATGCTGAGCTCCAGTTCCTCAAGGAAACCCATCAGCCTCACAGTGGCTCACGTGCAATGGTCCCACCAGGGGCAGTGATTCTGACAAGAATAACAGCAAAGTGTCCATTTCATTTTGTGTGAGTAGATATGTAAAGTACGATGAAGTTTGAAAAAGCTATGAAGTTTGAAAAAGATTTACCTCAGAAAAAAAGGCAGAAGACAGAGACAATTCAAGCATATGGATAAAAGCAAGGAAGAGCTTGCTTTTGTGGCATACTTGCATATATGGTGAAAAATGAGAGTTCATTTAGGCAGTAGATTAAGAATTAGAGCTCAGCACTTAAAATACCATCTATTACAATTGTTCCCATTCCAGAATTGGAATAGAATGAACTTCCCATTTATTTTACTGCAATCTCCTTTATGGCCAGAGGGGTGTGTTACTGCACAGTATTTATTGATTTGAAATTCCAAAGTTGATAGGAACACCCATTCATGTTTTGTTTTGCTTTTCATTTCTAGTGGATAGATTTTATCACTAAAAGAAAGTTAGGATTTAATATTTTATTCAAGCAAATAAATAGGACTTGAGCAAATAGCATATTTTCATTTGCTAGCAGTAGGAAAATAGCAAAGATTAATGTTAATCAAAAATACTGGCCCTCCCTGGTAGCACAATGGGTTAAAGCACAGCACTATGAAGCTATCTGAAGCCAGTCAGGGAAGTGACCCACATGATGTGACAGACCTCTCCTGACCTGCTCGCTGCTCCCCTCAGCAGTGTTTTTCAATACACCTGTCTGCTCTGCTCTCCACTCTGACTCTGGTGAGTCCTCTTACCCCTGCACCTCTGGCCTGTACCTCCGTTCTTGTAAGCATAAATAATAAATCTTTTTAAAAAAATATTAACTAATACTATGGTGATGTTTCTGTCCTATTGCCCATCTTCAACTTTGAAGCACTGGACTACAAACTCATACTGATCTTTAGGGTTTAAAAAAGATCAGTCTTTTTGAAGGTTTAACTATGTTTCCTGACACTGGACAAGACATTTTACATGTAGTACATAAAACCATTTTTCATGCCATAATTGAGTGGGCAGCTTTGAATCAGATTTCCTGGGCTTGAATTCAGCACCAGCACTTCAGAGCTGTGTGATTTTGGGACCAGTTGCTTAACCTCTCCATTCCTCAATTTCTCATCTCTTATGTCAGGGCTTCCAGGGTGATAGGATAACAAACTCTAAGCTAGCCCTCCCACTGCAAACCACTATAAAATTGCACACAAGGGGTCCTCCCTTGTGGCACAACACTTTAAAGCACAGCACTAAGAAGCTAAAGCCACTTTAGCATGAGTTTGATCTCCGCCTGCCCAGGAGTTGACCTACATGGCGCACAGACCTCTCCTGACCAGACCGCTGCTCCCCTCAACAGTGTACCTCACGATCTGCCTGTTCTGCTCCCAGCTCTATCTCTGATGAATCTTTTCACCACCTCTGCACGTCTGGCCTGTATTCCAGTTCTGTATTCATAAATAAATAAATCTTAAAAAAAAATAAAACTGCACAAAAGACACCAGTTAACTGTTTTCAGACACTGGGCAACAACACAGTCTGTTAGCCTGGAAGGGAAACACAACACATTAAATGAACCGCCCATTCACCATAGTTCTTTGTTCAGGGGTACGTTTTCTACACTTCAATGTGAATAAGTGAAATCTAATAAGGGGTGTTGAATTAATGAGTTTGTGTGAAAGGTGGTAGAGGAGAGGGACATGCTTGAGAAGGAATTTTAAAGCCCTATTCGTGGATCCCTGAATACTAAGCTTTATGTGTGCAAAGTGGAGTGTGGTTTCTGGAAATATATTTTGAGCCTGTGTGATGCCCTTGCGCAGGTTCTCATTTTGTCCCTATTTCTCTGTAGAAGTGGGTATAGGGGTCTGCTGACAAGAAGATGAAATGAGGCTCTCCTTGATGGAGCAATGGGTTAGGACTCAATACTGCAAGCTGGCTACAGCCACTTCAGTGCGAGTTTGATCCCAGGCCCCGGAGGTGACCCACATGGCGTGGCAGACCTCTCCTGACACTCCTGCTGCTCCCCTCAGCAATGTACCTCGTCAGTTTGCCTGTTCTGCTCCTTACTCTGTCTCTGGTGAACCCTCTCACCTCCCCTGCACCTCTGGCTTGTACTCCAGCTCTGTATGAATAAATAAATCTTTAAAAAAAAAAAAGGAAGATGAAATGATATAATGAATATACAAATACTTTAAAAACCTTGAAGTTGCAAAAATGCAAGGCATTTTCTTTACAAAATCATGAAGTTGGGAGAACTCACTCCAATATCAGAGTCTGGTATCCATCATCCTGGAAGCTCTTATGTTACAGATGAGGAATTGAGGAAATGAATAGTAAAGCAACTGGCCCCAAAATTACATAGCTCTTTAAGAGCTGGTCCTGAATTCAAACCCAGGAAATCTGATTCAAATATAAATACCTCCTACAAAATTTCAACTGAGCCTTTTGCTGATCATGGGATCAGTAAACAACAAAAACTTTGGCCCTAGGACAGAACCCTAAAGCCATTTGTGTCACTCTCTGGATCTATAGCACTTCCTGCAGTTACAGTCTGTGTTGTATTGCTTTGTTGTATTGTTTGAGGATATATATATATATATTTTTAAGGAGAATTTTGGTGTTTATTTAATAATTAAATCAGAATTAGCCCCCCAAAAAAACTATCATGGGAAACACATGTGTAATTTACTTTTTTTTTTTAAGATTTTTTTTTATTTATGCATACAAGATCTGGGGTGTAGGCTAGAGGTGTGGTAGGGGGGCAGGAGAGTGAGAAGATTTAGACAGGGGAGCAAGAACAGGCAGATCTACTGAAATACATTGCTGAGGAGAACAGCTGGCAAGACAGGAAAGGCCTGCTGTGCCATGTGGGTCCCCTGGCTGGAGATCGAACTCATGCTGCAGTGGCTGTTGGTAACTTCATGGTGCTAAGTTTAACCCCTGTGCCATCAGAAGAGGACCTTAATTTACTTTCTTTCTATTTATTTTCAACATATTAAAATTTCTAACTTGAAACTGATATGAATATTATTAATGAGGTATTTTTAAATTCATTTTATCCATGTTTTTAAATTTTGCCCTATCTTTTACATTTAAAACATAGGTCTATTCTAGCTAACCACATTTAAAGTTATAACAGCCACACCTGTGGCAAGTGGCAACCTTAGTCTAGAATAGCTAAGGCTTACTTCACACGGAATTGTCAGCTATCTGACAGCAAGGCTCTCCTGCTCCACATGCCCTCCTATTATCTTGCTTTCACTGACTCCTCCAGAATTTCTGCAAGGATTGCTATGTTCTTTAAGACCTTGGCTTTCACTTAATTGCAAACAATCTCCATTATTACAGAGAAGACAGAGAATTTGGGTTAACGCTCCTCTACCACAGAATCTCTCTCTAGGAAAGCATTCAATTGTAGCACTGTGGTGCCAGACAAGCATCTTAGAATCAGTATTTGTTTATTTATTTATTTATGCACACATGCATACAGAACTGGGGTACAGGCCAGAGATGCAGAGAGGGTGAGGATTCATCAGAGACAGAGTGGGGAGCAGAACAGGCAGATCAATGAGGCACACTGCTGAAGGGAGCAATGGGCAGGTCAAGAGAGGTCTGCCGCACCATGTGGGTCACCTTCCAGGTAGGGATTGAACTCGCACTGAAGGAGCTGCTGCTCACTTGCAGTGCTG